ACAAACAATTATTATTGTCAATAAAATCTTATTTCATTTTAAATTTTATACGTTTTTTTGTTAAAATCAAATATACAAAATTTATAGAATTATGACATCATTAATTCTAGAAAACACTGTCGTGATATGTAACAAATCTTGTAAAATAATAATTTCAAGAGCTGTTACTAAAACACTGCAAAAATTTTTGGAGTACTTAATCCATTTAGGGTAATCCAAAAACTACACGTCTATAAACATTATTGGAGTACATGATCCGTTTAGTAGTCCTATGTAATGCAGGTATGGATCAAGTTTATTATTTTTGAAAACAACATTTTCCATAGCCTGCATTACATAGCACCATGTTGCGGATCATGTACTCTCATAATTTCAGTATTACTCCTATGTAATGCATTGATGGATTAAGTGGTCCTTACCTAGGACATCACAATGTTAAATGGAGTATGTTGTTTCCATATATTTGGAGTAGTTTTGGACCAATCTTAGTCCTTTGAGGAGTAGTCTCAATTTTTGCAGGGAAAGGCATATTTGTGCGATCAATTAAAGCAGTACTTTCTGAACCGATTAATAAAACAAATACCAACTCTTTAACAAATTTTGTATATAAGATATAATTTCTAGTTCTGTTTCTAAAAAGGCATATTTGTGCGATCAATTAAATAACGATTAAAGCAATAGTTTCTGAGCCGATTACCGACTCTTTAACGCTTACACAAGCATTTGTTAAGGTTACAAAAAAATCGAACAAAAATCATCAGTCTCATACGTGTGACCAAACTAGAACTGTTACAGTTTAAATACGCGCTATATTTTCTAATTTCTAATGTCTGTTTGATATTGGAAATGGGCAAATCTATATTTGACTATAGACAACTTCAAAAAATGATTCCTAACTGCCTTAAAAATACCAGTATATGATAAAAATCACTCTACATACCAAATTTTATAAGGTTCGGTTCATAATTAACCCCACTGTTACATCTTGATTGTAAGGCTTTCGTAACTTCTTCTAGTTACCACTAACATTTATGTACAGAATTTGGTAAGGACCCAGAATATATATATATATATATATATATATATATATATATATATATTCTGGGTCCTTATTAAATTCTAAGACGATTTAAACATGTCCGTCCGTTTGTCTATCCGTTGAAAGCACTATAGAATTCATACGTCCAATCCGCACGTCCAATTTTGTATATATATATATATATATATATATATATATATATATATATATATTCTGGGTCCTTATTTAATTCTAAGACGATTTAAACATGTCCGTCCGTCTGTCTATCCGTTGAAAGCACTATAGAATTCATATGTCCAATCCGCACGTCCAATTTTGTATAGCTGTGCCCGTAATCCTGCTCATTTTGAGGAGATTTCTACTCTTGTTATCATTAGGGTCACCCCATAGAATCTTTGTGGTTCTACACACCGTTTAATTATTCCAAGCGGCCCTATGGGATTCTCGACCTCCCTTCCCTTTAAAGCTAATACATTCGCCCTTTTGTTGACGGCTACTCCAGAGTGGCCTGGTACCCATATGATGTAAACCTTACCTCTGGGAGAGTATTCACTTAAAGGTTTCTTACAATCCAATACGTTCTTAGATTTAACTTTATCACCTAGTATTGCCCCAATAGCCTTCTGGTTATCGGTAAATATGTTAAGTCCTGTGGACGCCATATTTATTCTAATCTAATTTACGCATTCCGTTAGTGCTTGTACTTCTGCCTGGAAGCTTGTGTTATGATTAGATAAACGGTGGTATATTTCTGTTTCTGGGTCTTCAATATAGAACCCCAGGCCCACTTTATCCCCCAATTAAGAGCCGTCCATGTAGCAACGGATTCCTACGGATATTTGCTCTTATGTTCCGCTTGACCAAAACATTCTATCTGGGTTCAGTGTTTCAAAGTTTCCGTCATTTTCTGTGTCTGGTATGCGATCGGGTATATGCGATGATTGTATGGTAAGCCTCCCAATGTATCCAGTATACATTGATGACGTGTCCTATAACTGCTTTTGGCCAGTTCTCCTAAAGTTATGAGCCGTTCGGCTGAAAGTGCCGCCTCATATCTTAAATATGTTTCAATGAAATATACTATACTACTATTAATCGTGGTAACCCAGAGTAAAAGAGACAAAATACAACCCTGTGTTGTACCCTTTTCCTGATAGTTATATCGTACATCTCATACTATCGACTATCCGTTCCAAGATTTTAAGTAGGAAGGATTTACTTTAGATCCTTATAGCGGAGTCGATTAAGCCATGTCCGTATGTCTGTCCGTTGAAATCAATTTTCTAAAGACCCAAGATATCTTCGGGATTCAAATCTTCAATAATTCTGTTAGACATGCATTCGAGAAGTTTCCTATTTAAAATCATCAAAATCCGCCCATAAATAACAGAGATATGAGAAAAAATCAGAGACAACCTCTGAAAATTTAATCAAAACAAGCCGAATCTTATATACCCACCCTCAAATCATTGCCGAAAAGAATACTTTGATATTATCGAAGCAATTTTCTCATTTATTAAATCTATGTTGAATTTTATCAGCATATGTCGATATAATATGAACATCATGGTAATATTGGGAAAAGGGCCTGTAATAAGCCGTGCTCTTCCGAATTAAAAATATTATTTTTGTCCAATTTTTATAACCATAAACTGTTTTTCTTGCAAGAGTGGTTATATGGAGGGTAGAGTCAATTATGGACCTATCCTCATCGGTTTATACAATAATTATTTGTATCGAATTTCATCGCTGTACTCGTATCTTTAATTAGTCATGAGGTTTAAAGTAATTTTGTGAAGGAAACCGATCAGTTATCTACCGATCCTTATCAAATTCAGTCGAAAAATGTCAGTTCTTATAAAACTACCGTAATTTGTAAGAACTTTTGAGTCATACCGTTAAAGTCATTTTCTGGAGTGAATCTTATATAAGGGTCAATTATCGACCGATCTTCATAAACTTTTGTACATAAATTATATTTCGTAAATAAATTGTTTATTACGAATTTCATCGCCTTAGCTGTATTGTATGAAGTCGTCGTTTATCGATCCATCTTCATCCAAGCCGGTAGAAAGATTTCAGTTCCCATAAATGTTATTTATGTTAAATTTCATATATGTATATAGTATATACATATATACAATATACTCGTATTTTAACTTCAGTAATGAGTGTTAAAGGCGCCCTTATGGGGGTATATTATGGATCGATCCTCCTAAAATTTCATAGAAAAATTTTTGTTCATGCAAATATTGTTTATGTAAAAGTTTTGAGCGTTAAAGTAATTTTCTAAAGAGGATCTTATATGGGGGGTGGGGTCAATTAAGGACCGATCCTTATTAAATTTTATAGATAGTTTATGCTATAGTTTATAGTTTATGCAGAATTTCGCCGCTGTACTCGCAAGTTGAGTAAGTTTTGAGCATTAAAGTTATTTTATGAAGGGGACCTTATATGGGGGGTAGGGTCAATTATGGACCCATCCTCATAAAATTTAAGAAACTTTTTTTAGTTCCTATAAAACTTGTTTATGTCATTTTTTGCTATATATGCTTCTTAAGGTCAGTTATGAGCATTAAAGCCATTTTTGGAAGGGGATCTTATAAGAAGGGTAGGGTCAATTATGGACCTTATAAAATTTAATAAGGAGGTTTAGGTTCCTATAAAATATGTTTCTGCGAATTCCACCGCTATAGTTGCTTCTTTTAGACAGTTAGGAGCGTTTAAGTCATTTTCTGAAGGGGACTTTGTATGGGAGGTAGGGTCAATTACTAGCCAATCGTTATAAATTTCACAGATAGATTTAAGTTCCTATAAAACATGTTTGTACTGAATTTTTAGTCATTTATGAGCGATAAAGTCATTTTCTGAAGGGGCCGTATATGGGGCTAGGGGAAATCGTGGACCGATATTGCCCATTTTCAATACCAAACAAACTGCTTTCAACAGACAGACGGACGGACATGGCTAGATCTTCTTTATTTATTTAATTTAATTAGAACCTAGAATATATATACTTTTATGGGTCTTAGAGGAATATTTCGATGGGTTACAAACGGAATGCCAAAAACAATACACCCCCCCTTTTCAGTACCAAATTTTAGAATTTAAAATATTTTTATTTTTTTTTTTTGTAAAATTCAACATAAATCTACTAAGTTTTTTTAAGAATTTCTCTCTATTTACAGAAAATTTCGAAAAAACCATTATTTACTTTTATAAATTTGTTACACTGTTTAGTATAGTCGACAATGAAAAATATTATTTATTGTCAAGTTTTTGCAAGTAGGCAAATATAAAGAATTTGTTTAAAAAAAAAACCATAGAATGTCATTAATTTTGCATAAATAATTATAGTAATAAAAATCAAATAATTGGTATTGACAAAGACTATAAATAGAATATTGTAATTAAATTTATAGAAAAATATGTTGGTAATTTGTTTATAGATAAACAAATTATATAAAAACAGATAATAACATAAACAAAAAAAATTAAGAAAAATTTATGGCGTTTATTAAACATAAACAAATTTGTTTTTCTTTTACTTAACTTTATTTTTAAATTATGTAATATTTCAAAAAGAGTATGTATAGCAAAAAAGTGAAAATTGTAATTATTTGTAAAATTACAAGGCCTTAATTGTTTAAATATTTTTTTCTTCAATAATTAACTTCAAAATTTTTAACTTACACATGTAATTTTGTTTTTGTTTATTTTAAATATTATTATTAATTTCTCTGAAATTTTTTGCAGCAATTTACATTTTATTAAATTTTATTTATTTTTGTTTTATTATATTGTTAACAATTTGTTTATACATTTTTTTGTTTTTTTTCTTTTTGCTAATTTATCAACAGTTAATGCGTTTCAATGTGTGTGAGTGTTTTGTATTGACGTTTTTTTTTTTTGTTGTATTTTTTGTGGTCAAAACATTTAGACAGCAAATGAAGTTACCTTAACCGTCTTTACGCAGAATCAGTTGTATTTCAGTCTTTGACTGGTTCGTTACTCCATTCAATAAAAAATTGTATAAACAAAATATAAAATTGTAAATCAAAAACGTTTAAAATTTTAATAAAATGGTAATTACAAAAACATAACGGAAATATTTTAAAGCGCTTAGTGCTATAATATAACAAATGGCAAAATCAAAATATGTGTATAAAAATCTAAATTAATTAATTATATTTTATCGTTATAAACAATATGTTTAAACCTAATTAATCTTAATAAAATTACTTGATGATTTTAAGAGTTAATTGGAAATAAATCAAGCGAAATAAACACACAAAAATCACAACATCCGATCCGATATTTGAATAAAGTACAAAAACTGAAAAATTCTGATTCACTTTCAATCACTCGAAAGACTTAAAAATAATCACCATTAAGTCATATTCATAAAAAAATGACCAAGGTTATGCGCAAAAAAATTTATTACCTTAAATCATACTTTAAAAAAACAAGCCCCTAAATATTCTTCAATCCGTTATAAAAGCCATTATTTATGTGTCATTCAGGGTTAAAAATTATTTCAAATAAACATGTTTATAATTAAAGAAATAAATTTAAAAAATAATTGTGTAATAAATAATGTTAATTACTAGGGTTGTACCCAAATCCTCCAAAGTACTTAATATTTTGAAATATTTAATACTGAAATATATTATAGTAATTAATGTTATTAATTGTAGATTTTAATAGAAAACACTCCATTAAAACAGAACAAGTCGAGTCAACAAAAGAATCTTATGTAAATATATACCCACCATCAAATTAGTTTGAAGTGATATACATTCATAGTAAAACTATTTTTGCCGGCAGTATATCCGCCGATTAAACGTGGTCGATATTATCAGGGAATTTTCGGAATAGTGCCTTTAATGAGGTCTTGGGCCAATTATGAACCGAGCTTTTCCCAATATAATAGAGTGATTAATTCTTAAAAACAAAGAATTTTTGTCAAATTTTATGATAATTGTAAATTTGTGACAATATACTGACTTTCAGTAGGAGGGACCTATTATGGACTCATACTATTTGGTCGCGAGATTTTGACTTCTATCAAACTTGTTGTGGCATCCGGTAGGTTAGTGTTCTATTATGGTAGACCGTAAATGGTGGGTTCGATTCCCTCATGAGGCACTGGTTAAGGAGCGCACAATAGGTCCGGTAGAGGTCTAGCTGTATTTCTTCGGATTTGATGAATGTATATATGTACGTCCTCCTTTCAAACTAACTAACTAACAAACTTGTTTGTGTCGAATCTCTTATCGTATAGCAAAGTACTGAGTGTGAAAATCATTTTCTGAAGTACATCATGTATGAGGAGTAAGGGTAATTTTGAACTGAGCCTCTTAAAAATTTATCGAATTTTATCCTTTTAAAGACACTATTGAGTATTTTCTGAAGACGGCCCTATATAGTAAGTAGGTCCATAATTTCGCATTAGATTTTGGTTCTAGAAAACTAGTTCATGTAGAATTTCATTCCTATTTGTAATCCAGCGTTTGTATAGGGGCTAGGTGAAATAATGAACCGATATTGTCCATTTTCAATACCAAAAGAATCTTATAAATAGATAATATTTGTGAAAACGCCCTGTAACTCTTTGCGTTTGATCCGTGTTTTCAACATACAGATGGACGGACACAGCTATATCGCTTTAGAATCGAATAAGGACCCAGAATCCTGCAAAAATATTTGGGGTACATGATCCACTTGGGTAATCTCAAAACTACTCCCCTGTAAACTTTATTGGAGTACATGATCTGCATCATGGATCATGCTTATTTCTTTATGGTCCATAGATCATGGACCATGTTTCGGATCATGAATTCCCATAATTTTAGTAAGATAATCGTTTTGAAGTTACTCTGATGTAATGTATGGATGTATTACGTGGTCCTCACCTAAGACATCACAATTTAAATGGAGTATGTTTTACCATAAATTTGGATTAGTTTTGGACTAGTCCTAGACCTTTAAGGAGTACTCTTTAAACGCATGTGCGCAGTAGTCGCAATTTTTGTGGGACTTGCAATCGTGTAATGTATTACGTGGTCCTCACCTAGGACATTACAATGTTAAATGGAGTATGTTTTGCGATAAATTTGGATTAGTTTTGGACCAGTCCTAGACCTTTAAGTAATACCCTTTACACGCTTGTGCGGAGTAGTCGCAATTTTTGTGGGACTTGTAATCGTGTAATAGTTTAATTTAGTTTAATAACCAAAATTAGGCTTGATTATATAAAATAATTCATTACATGGTCCATTACAATTACTTGTAATGTGTAATTGAGCTATAACTAACTATAATTACTTGTAATTCAAGTTTTGTCAATAAAAATGGTTCAATTACAATTACAAGTATTTGGCAAAACTTCCATTACAATTGCAAGTAATTGTAATTGGTAAAATTACAATTACAAATAATTGCAATTGGCAAAACATCAATTATAATTACTTGTAGCTTCAATTACAATTTCATTTATAGTCAAATGTAATCATTACTCCTGAAGCCTGATTAAATTCGTGTTCGTGAATCAAAAAACAAAAATCATTGATTCTAATACCAAACTAGAACAAGTACATTCTATAATCATAGACCTAGGCCGAGGCTGTACCCAAGTCTGATAGACTAGAACACTAACTATTAATCTACCAGAGTAACATACATATATACGACTTGGTTCAATAATTGATGCGCTGAATCCGAAACTCGAATCATAATGTTTTCGAGATATCATTTACGTTTATATAGACCATTAGATAAAATTATGTTATTCCTCAACACATCGATCTGGGTTCTTATTAGAATTTAAGACATGTCCGTATTTTAAAGCATAATAAATATGATCCCTTACCTTTGTTATGTCGTCTGAAAGACAATATTCGTTTGAAAATAAAGAGTCAAGCATTTGTCTGTGTTATCTGAAGTCCCAGTAGAGTATTATATTTCGAAAATTACAACACAACAAGTACGTAAGAGATAATCATATAAGTTGTACAACTAACGACTTTCGTCCAAAATTTATGGAAATCCCAAAAATTTCTTTAATATTTTTAGGAAAAAATCTTTGTACTGATATATATATATATATATAGATACGTATGTATATAAATCATTAAAATAAGTCAACCACTTACCGAAAATCCTTGATGTAGCGAATCATTTGTTATAAAATTATATATAGTTTTATAATTAAATTTAGATTGTAATTATAATAAATCTTTAAAACTTATCTTACGATTTACCCGATTAATAATAAAGTAATATATTATTTATTTCTAAATTTCAGATTTCACATTATCTCCTTTTCACAATATGTATCTGCACAGCAGCAGCAGCTGTATTACCAGCAACAACAACTATGGAACTAGTGGAAAATGAAGATGTTTATCCCTTAAATCCAAGTGAAATTTTACCCATACAACCTGTTCTAGTCTATCCTACCCCAACAGCCAAAGAAAAAATGCTTTACAAATCCAGATCCATGTTAAAAGATAACGAAATAATCTATATCAAATTATTAAAGCGAAAAAGTTATCGTCCGAAAAAATTCAAAAATCAAATCGATGGAAAGAATGCACCAAAAGAAATACAAATGAAAGATATTTTCTATGTGAAAGCCTTGGCCAATGGACAATTTAGTCATAATCGTCTTAAGTTATATCGTTTGCCAGAATTTTATGCCATAACTGTTTATAAAAAAGGACATCTGAAGGAGTAGGAAAGAACTTTAAACTAAAACACTTCCATGACATGTATTATAAGAGAAGAAGTGTGTGATTTTCTATAAAGTATTTAAGTTAATTTATGCATAAGTTGTTAGAGTAGTTAGCTGTTATTAATTAGTATTTAAGTAGCTTAAAAATAACTAAATAAACATTAAAGAGATGAATAAA